ATTTGAACTATGGTCTCTTAAAAAAACAGAAATCACAACCAATTATACTAAACAAATTTATTTTATCTTCTTGAATTGTAAGCATACACTTAGCGAAGATTTGAAAAGCATAGGAACTTTCCATCACGGTTAGTTAGCCTATTAAATATTCTAAAAAACAAAGTTTAATACGTGATTTATAAATTTTTTTATAACCTATAAAATAACGGGTAATCTTAAAATTGCACCATAAATTTCAATGCTTGAAATATTGCATATCGAATTGCAGTATTGAATATGCAACAGAGATGTAGAATTCTTTAATTAATATACATTTTCAGAACTACTATGAAGCAATAATATTTTGTACAAACTATAGGTGACTGATTCTCTTAAAATTTTAGCCTGGTTAATTGCTAAACATTAAACCTCTTGCTAATCTGGCATGAATGGATCCGACAATTATGAGACGATATTAGGTTTAATGTGATGTTCATTTGCCATTTTTGGGTGTGTTGATCAATTTAAGTGCATTAACATATAAATGAGTTATAATTAACATCATTATACAATTTTTACTCTTTATAATAATTAATTTAATCTTAATATTTGTGATGTTCGAAATATTTTATGTATGATTTAGAGATATACTTATTATTTGTGGCATCAGTGGTAGTTGCACAGTATTTTATCATGTAGTCAAAATCCAATATTGGGTGCATTTATGATTGTTTTTTTATCTTGGTGTTGCGAATAGGTACCTTTGGACCAACCTATGACCGAACAAAAATGGGTTAAAACTTAATTATTAGAATGCATGTAACTATACGCAGGCAGATAATCGAGCTAGCATGACACAGTTAGAGCATACCATGAAGATAATGTATATGGATCGGCCTATACAAGTATGAATGCTTCATGGGTCGTACCTAACTTAAACTTCAAGCGCTCGCGCACAAGTGCAAGCACCACATAGTCTATATTGTTGCACTCATGTTTTGTGGAGAAATGCGCCATTTGAGAGGAATAAGCGGTCATTTGTTCGCCAGGTTTCAGGTCCTCTGATTCACACTATCGATTGTGAATGGAGAAGAAGCATCTCGAACGCAAAATTGGATAAGTAATTGGGATGTTTCTAGGTTTCTCTCAATTCCAGGTGGTGGAGAAAGAGGAAGGAAAGGGGGAGAGTGGTGAGATACAAAGCTCATAGAGAGAGATGGAAGAACAAATGGAAAATCAAAGAGGAATCGAGGACCCGCTGGGCAAGTGTATCCACACCTATGTACATATGACCTCAAGGATCTAAGCCCTTGAGACTGATTAACTTAGCAGTGGAAGGGTAATACCTGCTGGCATCTCAAAGCAAACCCGTCCTTCACCGCTGGAGCTTCGCCGACTAGAGAAGGAGTTCGCCGGATCAAACTTCTCTCCCTCCGCTAAAGGAAGAAGAGGCGGACTGTAGCAGCTTCATTCGATGGGGAGGTCGAGTTTGGGGGAGGTTGAGAGAATAACGATGGGAGCTGGGGTTAGCAAAACGATGTCGTTGGTCTAAGTGAACAAAAGGAGAGAAAAATCTGACCGAGGGATTCGAACACTAGGCTCATTAAAAGGAATGAGGGCATAACCCAATGGGCAATGAGGGGAAATCCGTCTCTCATTTTCCAGCAAATGATGTTTTATTGTTTTCGCCCAACTGCCTCTTTTATTCCCCATGAGTATTTCCATCGATAATGAAATTGAAAGTGAACACATTTCTTACAATTTGTTTTTTTATTTTTGTTGTCACACCAGAAAACAGAAAACAAAATGACAAGTGAACGAAGCATAAGAGAGAGTGAGATGACATATTTAAACGAGGGGGGAAATGAGGTAGTATAAAATAATTGCCCTCCTGCTCTGTTTAGTGGGTATTCTTAGCCTTGTTGAGTTTTAGGAGATGACATTATATTTGTTAGATTTTTTCCATTTCAATTAAGGGGTCGTTTGAAAGTTGCGATTGTTTTGTTGAGATTGTTACTATACATGTATTTTTTAGAATGCATCATTTTTTATATTTTTTTAGTAGAACCAATACATGGATTACATGTGTGATGTGACCGAAACTATCAATCAAAATGAGTGATTGTTATATCTCAAATTTTAGTTGGTATTGTTGAGATAGTTGAGTTTCAGCTTTTAGCTTATGTGACATACACAATGCATCTAAAACGACAATACATATATAATATTATACATGCATTCACAACAAAATATCTATTTAACAATCTCAACTTCCAAATGACCCCATAAAATCCTAAATCAGTATTCTCATTTGGATGATTTTTTCCTTAATACAATTATGGTAATCTATGGGATTTAAAGGTATTTGATCATGTCAATATTTTAATGGTTTTTTACTTAAAGTTTGAATTGAAAGATCGTACATACTGGCAGTTCAACCATAAAATTTCACACCATAGGCTAAATCGATAGGTGATATTTAGCAATATGAAACTGTTGAACCACAGTTAAATTATGCTTTCAGTATAAAATACTCTGCTACCAAAATTTTTGATACTATTGTAATCATTTGGTTCAAACAATTCTTTTACACTGGTGGAAACAAAAGTTTTAAGACACATTTTGAACTATCTATTGCAAAAAAACATAAGTCAGTTAGCGATAATGAGACGATCTCATTCAACCCAAAAGACACTTTGCAACTTCTATATTCTTAAAATAAATGTATGTTACTTATACCCTTGCTCATTCATCAACTTAATGAGTATTATATATTTCATGTAATATGATTTTCATAGGTTTTTCTTTATTGAATTGTTTAATAAAAAAAATTTGTTGCATGAAAATTACTACATTGTTGTTAGACATGTCTGCAATCTAAGAATAATTTTGGAAATCCATACACAACACATTGTAAAACCAACTATTAGCGACAATTTAACATCATGTCCTATATATTTCAAATCAAGCAACTTCAGATTCATTACCAATGGTGTGGTAAAAAAGAATGCTCTCTATTGGGAAAAACTTCAAGGATATACTAAACTCTATGAGAGACATTTTCTTTCATCTTAAAGGTTGATTATGTATGTATTATGAGAAACAAATATAATATTCAACTATATGGTTTAATTAAGTAATGGATGACAATTAGTTATATTTATTTCTTTTTTCATTCAATAATTATAAGTAATGCATATATTATATTTTTCTCTTTTCATGAAGGTCTAAACACAATATGCATAGTTGGATCACTTTCAAAAATGTGATGTGCATAACTAAGTTAGAAAACAATCATTTTGTGCATTTCAAATCTTCTATTATATATCCATTATTATATATCATATTTCTCGACAAAATTTTTCCGACCAACAAGCCAGGGCCTGTGCTAGTATATTTATAGATTAGGCTTTTAATTTTTTGGTAGTGTGTAGGGATGGCAATCAAACCCATGGTCGCGGGTATCCGACCGCCCCCGACCAAGTCAACGCGGAGAATCCCCGCATTGACTGGGTAATGAGAGGGTATGGGTAAAACCCGCAAAACGTTTGATGGGTATGGGGCGGGTATGGTTTTAGCCTCCCCCGCCCCATACCCATACCCATACCCATATACCCGCCCCACTAAGAACATTTCTTCACATATAACAAATATATGAATAAAATTGTGATATATGAATGATAGTGAGGGTACCTCAAGAAAATAAATATTAGAAATGCAATTGAGTGACCACCCAAATCAAAACATAATTCATTTTCGTCAACTCTCCCTTCACTGTTTCACTTTTCCCTTCATGTTAACAAGATTATGTTAGTTTGTTATTAGTTAGTAGATGTATCAGAGTCCGAGAAGAATGATTTGTATTACATTATATTGTAGGGCTAATACCACTGGGAAACCCGAACTATTAACTTTGTGTCATTTGTGTCCTAAAGTATTCGATATGACATTTGTGTCACAATGTATGATAGTTGTATGTCATTTATGTCCTGACAATTTCGTTGACCGTTATAGATAACGGTTAACCAAACGGAAGTCAACATTAACATTGACTTTTGTTGACGTGGCAGCCACATAGATGCCACGTCATTGACACATCACATTTTTTACTAAAACTAAATAAAAATTAAAATAGAAAAATTATAAAATCAAAATAATTAAGAAAATAAAAAAGCAGGGGATAAGTATTGCGTTTTATCTGCTGGTGTTCCTCCGGGAATAATCATCGCCGCCAACGCCATCCCAGCTCCTCCTTCGGGGGACATCGCCACCGCTTGGTCGCCCGATCTCTCCGCCGCTCTCTACCGTGTCGACGGTTGGGGCGCACTTACTTCAAGCAATTGAGCTTCTTCGAATTGATTACGGCGAAGGAGAGGAGGGACTTTGCATCTGGGTCTCCGATTTGGGAGAGGAAGAACAACGCAATCGGCGATTTGAGACTGCAGAAGGGAACACATATCAGACGGGGAAAGAAAAGAACATAACAACCTTCCCCGATGAACCTCTCTTTGTGCTTCTTCTTCTTCCCCTGCATTAGAATCCAGAGTTTGGAAGAACATTACTCCTCAGCAGTAGCTCAAAAATCCCAACAAGCTGCTCAACAACGAACAATCAATCGAACAATCAATCCGTCACCGGGGCTTGCCTTTTCCCCCGTAGACATCGTTGCCCAGCTCCCCACCAAGAACCCAGAAGCCCCTGACATGCTCGGCCGCATCTACCGCCTCCGCGCTTCCTACTCTGTCTCCATCTCCAACCCTCAAATCCCACCGTCGCCATCATCATAGTCCGCAGCCCAGTCGCCGCCATCTCCTCCAGTGAGGCGCCGCGCTCTACGAGGAAGAATTGGGGGAGGTAGATAGATGCAGCGGCGACGGGTGATTGCGAAGAAGAATTGGGGGGGGGGGTGGGAGATTGATCCAGCGAAGGCGGGTGGTTGGAAAGAAGAAAAATTGGGAGTGGGAGATCGATGCAGCGGCAGCAGGTGGGTGCAATGAAGAAGAATTGGGGGTGTGATATCGATGCAGCGGGGCAGATCCGACGTGGAGGAGCTTGCCGAGGATGAATCAGGTTTTTGGACATGGGGGAGTTGAAGAGACGGCCTGCAGTTGCGGAGGAGGACAGGGAAGCTTAGGTTTTTTTTTCCTTTTAATTTGCTATTTGTTAGTTTATTCGTTTTTTATAGAAAAATAATAAAAAATAAAAAACAAAATTCCACATCAGATGCCACATCAGCGCTGACCAGGCTTTCTGTTAAAAACTAACGGTCAAAGCTAGTCAACTCTAACGGAAAAATAGTTTAGGACACAAATGTCATATCGAATACTTTAGGACACAAATGACACAAAGTTAATAGTTCGGGTTTCCCAGTGGTATTAGCCCTATATTGTACTCTATCTTATGGATTAATAGATTGTTTAGGATAAGATGCTTTGAATCGTATAAAGAATGAGAGTCTTTTTGTCAACTTCACAATAATAGCTGCGTTTAATGTTATAATTGAGAATGTACATGTAAAATTTTAGGTATTGTAATGTTGGATGTACGGGGCAGGTATTACCCATGGGTACCCAAAACCCACAGGCATGAGTTTGCAAAACCTTCCTCACATGGGTATGGACGAGTATGAGTATAGATATTTGATCCTCCCACATATATAAGTACGTTCTTGGTGAAGAGCTACGCAATTTAGATTTCCCTGCTCTCCCCGCAAAGCAAGGAAGGGTGTTTTTGTCTTTTCCTCCCCTAATTCTCGGTCCATAGGACATAATGGCATATCACTTGGGCTCCGGTTTTTTCATTTTTGGCTCCTGCACCCGCAGGCCACTGTAACTATGTAATTTAATTCAACGAAAAATAAATTGTAGAATTTTATAATATAATATTTTCTCCTTGGAAACTATTATATGGGATTTGTGACCTGCGTATTGTTAACCTACCTGGGATATCTTAGCTGCATTTTTAGATAATAGCTCATAGTAGTTCAAGCTATGACTTGGTCATATCACTTGCATTGTTATCCTATAATTATACTATAGTCGGCAAAGCTGAGTAACAACATTTTTTACTAAAATGATGTAAAATGTCATGAAAATTTAATTTTACAAATATGATTATATTTTGTGTTTGAATTTGCTTCGCGAAAAATGCAAAAATAAAAAGCGCATATTGTGACATGAAAATTTAATTTTACAAATATGATTATATTTTGTATTTGAATTTGCTTCGCGAAAAATGCAAAAATAAAAAGCGCATATTGTTAATGAAGACAATGGTGTTAATGATTAAGATTATTGACGATAAAATAATGATGCCAGTTACTTTGGAATACCTATAATATCGTATCAATAAGTTTATATGAGTTAATATACCCTTGCATAAGTCCTGGATTTTGAATTTCAACAAAAATCAACATATAAGGCAAATGTTAGTAGTCGTTCTGATGGATGTTCATTTTCAAAAATGGATATTTTGACTTTCTTATAATAATATACTATATCAATATTATCTATATTTTTTTACGTTATTCGTGGTAAATATAGGAAACAACCTTGCTATCTATTTTTGAAAATTGATATCATTATTTATTAATTCGCATGATATTATATATAATTATGGCAAGAATATAAGAAAAGAGTAAATCGTTTAAATTTAAACTTTGAAACTTTGTTAATTATTGTTATCATATTGCAACCGGCCAACGGGCCGGGGTACAAGCTAGTAGCGAATATGGGGATGGTTTAGACAAACCCGCCCATTGCCATCCCCAGTAGTGTGATGTTGAAATCTATCGGTGCAACCATTTACTGGGCTTTATTTCCGTATTGTGATGTTGAAATCTATCGGTGCAACCATGTACTGGGCTTTATTTCCGTTAGCCCATATCCTTGTATGCCATTGCCCGATTCAGCCACACCGAGACTGGCCCAGTTTGTGAATTCGGACCCAAAACCCAGCTAAACAGGAAAAAAATAAACGAAAGGACGGCTTTCTTTCTTGTGGGAGAATTCAGGTGAGGAATTATTATTAAGCTCCGATAGATCGCGGCAGGCACACATCACTTCTTCTTCGTCGGCCGAAGCATCTCTCAGACTTGCCTTCGCCAAGTTCCAATCTACGGTCTCTGCACAGTGAGTTCGTCTTCTATGCATCACCCACTCGTTCTCAGTTTGTAGCATCCTGTTTAATTCCTTTTCTATACCCCTCTTTTGACAGTTCTCCAATGGAGTCGAATCAAGCTAAGCCGAGCCTTCTGGCCTCTGAATCTGACTCCCAGCGAACGCTGTACGTATATTCTCGTTCACCCCCTTTTTTATTGCGCCTACAGTGCATGTACACCGAGTTTGCTGCTTGTGTGCCTGGAAATACGTTTTTGTTTTAGGGTTTTGGTTCTTCGATTTTGGGGTGGTGTTCGTAGAATCGTGGGAACGGAAACCCTAGTTCTTCATTTGTTTGACTTTATCTCGGGAATGTATAGGTCTCCGTACGTCACTGGTACGTCCGTGGTGGCTTTGAAGTATAAGGACGGGATTTTGATGGCTGCTGACATGGGAGGTTAGTGCTGCTTGTGTTCACGGAGATTGACGGTCTATATATTAAGCTGTTGGATTGAATCACTTTTGGGTTTTTCGGTTTGTTTGAGATGTGGATTGTTGAAATTGGCAGGTTCATATGGGTCCACGTTGCGATACAAGAGTATGAGTCGAATGACTCCAGTTGGGAAGCACTCTCTGTTGGGTGCTAGTGGGGAAATCAGTGATTTCCAGGAGATTTGCAAGTATCTTGATGAGCTGATGTAAGTTCTCTTTTATGGTTGGGATGCAAAAGGGGATACTATAGGGAAAACATTGCTTTTCCTCCTTGAGGAGAACCTGTTCTTCTTCCTACGATAATTGTGGTTGTGTTGATTTGGTGGCTGTAGCTTACATGATAGCATGTGGGATGATGGGAACTCCTTGGGGCCCAAGGAGGTGCACAACTATCTGACTAGAGTGATGTACAATCGGCGTAACAAATTTGATCCCTTTTGGAACTCGCTTGTTCTTGGTGGCGTGAAAAAGGGAGAGAAGTATCTCGGCATGGTAGGCCTCTTATTGAGTATAATTTTCAGCCCTCTTTTAAGTGGATTCCACTTTTTCATAACTTGATCAGGCAGTCGGGGATTTTTTGTTGTTTAAAGACTCAAGTTACTACTGTTCCTAATCTTTGAGCTTCTCAGGTAAGCATGATTGGTCTCAGTTTTGTGGATGATCATGTTGCAACTGGATTTGGAAACCACCTTGCTCGACCAATTCTCCGTGATGAGTGGCGTGAAGACTTGAGCTTTGAAGATGGTGTTAAGTTGCTGGAGAAGTGTATGCGTGTGCTCTTGTACCGTGATAGATCTGCTGTGAACAAGCTTCAGGTTCGGTTTCTTAATTCCTGTATGCTAAAGATGGTCTTTAACTTTTTTGCTATGTGGATCCTTTCATCTAAAAACTGGGACATTTCAGTGGTTGCTACAGTTTCTAGCTGTTGAGCCTAAATAAAATAGGTATTACATTTACTTTGGACTTAACAAGTTCAGGCCCACCTTGGATCCTGCAATAGCTCGAAACCTGTACACAGCTGTAAACGAGTATAATAACAGTCATTCATTCATCCCTCCATGTTGGTGTTCTTTTGGTTGGAAAGACTGAAACAATCAGTTTATATGTAGCACACAGCACTTCATTAGGTAATCATTTCTGGAAAGGGTTGTTCTGACAGATAACTTCCAGCAGAGTGAATTAGTTTCGGAAGGTTGAATGAGGATGTCAATGCTATTCACTAGTTTGCTTGCATCATCCTCATTTTCACCTTACTGCACTGTTCACTCCTTATCTTTGCTTTACTTTAAGCCCAATGTAGGTTAGGGTTAAGTAGCCTCCCGTCGAACCTAATAGATGAAAGTGGTGTCTAACATTCACCAATATTTACTGAAACTGTAGTTCAAAATCACTTTCTTTAGGGTTGATTTTTGTTACATTTACAAACGACGATGTGCACTTTGCAGATAGCAAAAATTACCGAGGAAGGTGTCACCATTTCGCAGCCTTACTCTCTGAAGACCTTCTGGGGATTCACAGCATTCAACAATCCCACTGCTGGTGCTGAAGGATCATGGTAGACTGCTGGTGTAAGAAGTGGGCTTCAGATGCCTGCCTTGTGATAATGTTTTCCTTTTGTCTTTGGATAAAGAATGATACTTATATTCCAGCAGAACCATGAATGTCGTGAACGATTTGCAAGTTTCACCTTTTCAACCTTTTCTAAATGTAGTAGCGTATGGTTATGGACTTACGGTATGAGCCAGCCCTTCCTGTGGAAGTTATTTGATTCTCTGACCAAAGAAAAGCTATGTTTTCTGGTGGTCAATCAAGACTAGTCTGAATGTGGTTATAGAGGTCGAGTCCTAATTAAGGGTGTCTGTTCGGTTCGGGTCGGGTAACCAAACCCGAAACCCACCAACCCGAAAAACCCGAAGCTGCCACTAATAGTAACCCGAAACCGAACCCGAATTGGTGTCTTGTGGGTTGCGGGTACCCAAACCCGAAAACTGCATTAGCGGTTTCGGTTCGGTTTGCTTGAACCCGAAAATCGAACCTCCTCCTTGAGCACTCTGCCCAACAACACCTGTTGTCTCATTCTTAATTCCAGAATTTCAATTTCTCTTCCATTCCTTCTTCTCCTTGCCTCCACTCCCACCAACACCTGTTATTACTCTTCTGTTCCTTCTCATCCTCACCCCCACTACTGTTCCAACTTCCAACCCCTACCGCCACCTCTTGCTTCATTGTAGCTTTTGCATCTCTGCCACCAGCCTACAACCAAGAGAATTGGTCGAATCAACGAAGCTAGGATAAGAATCGACGAAGCCAAGGGAGGAATCGAATCTGGGAAACCATAAACCCAGATCGGAGAAAGCTTTCGATGCAGCGCCCGATGTACCCTGATGCGCCGCCGACTTGGAAAGCTTTGGTCTCAAACGGAACCATATGCGTCCCCCGACTTTACCCAGATGCACCACCCGACGTTACCTAGATGCGGCGCCCAACGTTACCCAGAATCCCAGATGCGTCGCCCGAATCGTGGAGGGAAACCACCACTATACTCACCTGCCTCAGTCCTCTGTCGAAGCCTTGAAATCGAAAGGTTTGGGAGTTTCAGATGAGATGGGAAAGCCTCGAAGATCGAAGTTAAACTGCAAATCCCAAAAGGGCATAACGCTAGCTGAAGATTGGTATCGGGGTTTTTCGGGTTCTTATCGGGTTTCGGGTTACAAAGAAACCGAAACCGACGCCACACACATCTGGGTTGAAACCGAAAACCCGAACCCGACAGCACTGTTATCGGTTCGGTTTCGGTTGAACCCGAAAACCCGAAACCGTACCGACACCCCTAGTCCTATTTAAGGCATGAAATATTTCTACCTGACCTGCCCTTGTGGATACTGCTCCATTTTGCCTATGAATAGCAATGGCAGGTCCGGCGGGAATCTAGATGTCCATACTCGTTTATATTTGCCTCGTCGCAAGTTGGATAATTTATTATGGGCAAGGGTCGGGGTAGATTGGCCGTTAGAAATTGAAGTTCTCTCCTATATTTAAGTACAACTTTTTTATTGTTAAACTATACAATATCTCCTATATCTATGTACAATTTCATTATAGCTAAACTATAAACCTATATCTATGTACAACTTCATTATAGCTAAACTATAATAAAAGTGAAAATCTAAATAATTTGAGTAAAATTACATATACTTTAATAAAAAACGAGTCGAGAATGAAACCGGTAAGGACAAGTCAAGTCGAGGAGAGTACCCATAACCCGCCCAAAAACAGGTCAAACAAATTGAATCTAACAGATCAGGTTAAAACTGTCATCCCTACTACTCTAGCGTTAGTTAACACTGACGAACAAGTACTTCAATATGAATTGTCGACGATGACACTCTCGAATTTTGAAGAAGAAAAAAAAAAAAAGAATGAACGGTAAAAGAATCACATAGTTGGGGAGTCAAATTGTCATATAGCCCAAAAATAAAGAAGTTGCGACCCACGTGCCAGACAGAGTTCGAATCAAGTCGGGTTGAGTTGAGAAAGTGAACACGGTTCCCATCCAAATTCGGACTGATCCATCATACATTAACGCAGCCGATCCCCGTCTCTTAACAATCTTGCCTGAAAATCGTGTCCTGCAGCAGCGATCGCCGCCGCCGCCGCCATTCCACGGAAAGCGCCAGCAAGTTATGGCTAACCTGAATCGCTCTATTACTTTATGTTCCCTTCTGCTTCTACTCCTCATCTCGCCGACGAAACCCGAAGTTATTACCCTAACCCCTGAGACCTTCTCCGACAAGGTACATCCACCGTCTTCTCTGACGAGAATTACATTCTACTACAGATTAGGGTTTAAGGGTTGCGCGTCTTTTACTTCAGATTTACTGAATTAGCTATATATTTTGCCTAATGTTTCTCACGAAAGTAAAGAATTTTGGTGTATTTCTGTGAGCTGAATTTAGCTTGATCATAAACTTCGGCCTATCTTGCTTCCAACTGGGTTTTGGTTGATGAGATCACATTGTTGCTTAATTGGATTCGGAAAGGGCGTAGTAAGAATCCGGTCTGCGCGGAAGTTTGCAGTTTGCAATGTCCATTTGGAGTGGGTTATGGTTAAAAACTTATCTGTTGTTAAAAAAATTACTTCTAATACGAGGCCTGAAACTTGGATGAAAAGGGAGGTAATTTCTTGCAATCCTCCTAGGTCATTTGCGGTTTGTAGTAAGATTTTGAGATGAGCTCAGTTTCCCGCAGTTGTCTTTGCCATAAAAAATCTCAAGTGCATCTACAAGTTTTGATATTGAGTAATGAAACTCTATGTTGATTCAGTTTATTCTATGGGAAACAAGTGGTAACAGAGAAGCAGAGATAGGAGATTTGGGTTTTCGTCTAACTATATGAGCTTATGTAATAACAAACTTACATTGGTGATTGTTAATTCAATTTGTTGCATCTCTCAGGTGAAGGAGAAAGACACTGCATGGTTTGTCAAGTTTTGTGTTCCTTGGTGCAAGCACTGGTAAGTATATGAGTATTATCACTTGCCAGCAGATAAGATATCTTATCTGTTAGAAGTCTTTTATGTCTTACACAAACAAATCCTGTTTTGGGTTCAGTAAGAATCTGGGCTCCCTATGGGAAGACTTAGGGACAGCAATGGAAGGCCAAGATGAGATAGAGGTTGGTGAAGTTGATTGTGGTGCCAGCAAATCAGTGTGCTCGAAAGTGGACATCCACTCATACCCCACGTTTAAGGTCTTTTATGAAGGAGAAGAAGTTGCTAAATATCAAGGTGAGTTGAATAGTCCAACTTCTGACTAAAAGACTAAAATTTCAAACAAGCTGATGAAAGTTGTGTGGCTGATCATTAGTGAAAAGGATCATTGTGTTTGGTCTTTGAAATGCTCGTCAGTGTTCCCTACCATCATTCTGTTGGCCTTCGGAAAGTTTCTGCTTTCCTTTTTCGTTTGGAGCATGTCATGGAGCAGCTGTTCCCATTTTTGTATGATATGATTCAGCTACCCATGAGCCAGCTTAAAGCACTTTGTGATGTATATGTGTTCTTCCTAGATTTCATATATCCATTATGTTCAACATATGGAGCAGCTTTACTTTAAGTGCTTAGGACTCTATGTTTGAAGTTAAGAAGATATAAACTGCTCTTCTGGAGCTTTCTGTAACAATTAAGGAGACTGGAATTTTGGATAAGTGCTGGACATTCATTGCAAAACAACGGGAAAACTCTGGTTTGTACTGTGCAAAAACGGGAAAGAACTCTGTTCGAGTATTTAACTATCGCTTCAAATTGTTTTTGCCCTTCACTTACCAAAATTTTGGTTGGTCTTGTGTTCTTGCTGTCTCTCTCCAGCTAGGACATAAGTTTGCTGTTTCTAATCCAGTCAAACCCTTTGCATATACTTCACAGCTGAGCGCAAGGATGTAGACAGTAATTGTGTAGGACGGTTTCCTGTGTTAACTTTTTACTTTGAATAAATTGCAGGGAAAAGGGATGTAGATTCGCTCAAGGCATTTGTTTTGGAAGAAGCAGAGAAGGCTGAGAAGGCTGCAGCCGAAAAAGAGAATGACAGTGACATTGACAAAGAGTTGTAATTCACCGGAAGAGTGTGGTTGATGCCTATTTCTCTCCAATCGGCAACCATGTTTGGACTTGGTAGTCTAGCCTCCAGCGTAACTCCATGCACTACCAGAAATGATAGGACTGATACTAGATATTGGGGTTTTGCTGATACGAGTTTTGGGCCGAAATCTCAGCAGTGTTTAAACGCAAGAATGGCAGAATCTTGTAGCTTTGCATCATATTGGACTCAGAATTGTGCATTCAGTTTTCCAGGGGAAAGTCGATCAGTACAAGTAACCCCCAGATTATACACGGCCTAGCTCTTTTTCATATGTATAAACTCAACTCTCTGAGTCCTAAGAGTACCAATTGCAATCGTATTACTCAGAGACATGATCGTGGCACCAACCGAACGATGGCATCAGTAATGAACTCTTCCATCTTGTAGAGCAGTGGACACTTGCAACCTTGTTGTAACTACGGTAAAGACCACACCGATGAGCTTTGCAAAACAGAAAGTCACTAAGCCCAATATTATCTGTTCGATGCAAAAATAAGGGCAAAACTTTTGAACGGCTCGCTCTCTTGGACAAAGATAGAGCAACTCCGACACAGGCAAATTGAAAAACATTACTAAACAAACAGCGACTACATCCTACTAGAACCATTACCACCATGTTCAGATGATAAATTCTAACAACGGACACCGAGAAGCCACCACGAACAACCCTCCATTAACAACATTTTCCGCCAACTTAAAAACACAAAACGATGTCCACTTGACAAAAAGCTGATAAAAATGCTTCACTTCTTCTTGGCAGCAGCCTTGGTGACCTTGGCACCAGTAGGATCCTTCTTCTCCACGGCCTTGATGACACCCACAGCAACAGTCTGCCTCATGTCCCTCACGGCGAACCTACCCAGAGGTGGGTACTCGGAGAAGGTCTCCACCACCATGGGCTTGGTCGGAATCATCTTCACGAACCCGGCATCACCATTCTTCAAGAACTTGGGCTCCTTCTCGAGCTCCTTTCCGGATCGCCTGTCGATCTTGGTCATGATTTCAGAGAACTTCACAGCAATGTGGGAGGTGTGGCAGTCGAGAACTGGGGCGTAGCCGTTTCCAATCTGGCCAGGGTGGTTCATGATGATGACCTGGGAGGTGAAGTTGGCAGCCTCCTTTGCAGGGTCATCCTTGGAGTTGGAGGCAACGAACCCACGCTTGAGATCCTTGACAGCAACATTCTTCACGTTGAACCCAACGTTGTCACCAGGGAGTGCCTCCTGGAGAGCTTCATGGTGCATCTCGACTGACTTGACCTCAGTTGTCAGCCCGGTGGGACCAAAGGTAACAACCATACCGGGCTTGATGACACCGGTCTCAACACGACCCACTGGCACAGTTCCAATACCACCAATCTTGTACACATCCTGAAGCGGGAGACGGAGTGGCTTGTCTGATGGCCTCTTGGGCTCGTTGATGTTGTCAAGAGCGTCAAGAAGGGTTGGGCCCTTGTACCAGTCAAGGTTGGTCGACCTCTCAATCATGTTGTCTCCCTCGAACCCAGAGATGGGAACAAATGGAACCTTGTCTGGGTTGTACCCAACCTTCTTCAAGTAGGATGAAACTTCCTTCACGATTTCATCGTACCTAGCCTTAGAGTACTTGGGGGTGGTAGCATCCATCTGACATACGTATGGATAAAAATATCAGTATTGGTTCAATCAGCGAGCAATTCACCGAAAACTAAATGGCATCAACAACATTAACTCACTGACCTTGTTGCAGCAGCAGATCATCTGCTTGACACCAAGGGTAAAGGCGAGGAGAGCATGCTCACGAGTCTGGCCATCCTTGGAGATACCAGCCTCAAAACCACCAGTGGTGGAGTCAATGATGAGGACAGCACAATCAGCCTGGGAGGTACCAGTAATCATGTTCTTGATGAAATCACGATGTCCTGGGGCGTCAATGACTGTGCAGTAGTACTTGGTGGTCTCAAACTTCCACAGGGCAATGTCGATGGTGATACCACGCTCACGCTCTGCCTTGAGCTTGTCAAGCACCCATGCGTACTTGAATGACCTCTTGTTCATCTCAGCAGCTTCCTTCTCGAACCTCTCGATCACACGCTTGTCAATACCTCCAAGCTTGTAGATCAAGTGGCCGGTGGTGGTTGACTTCCCAGAGTCGACATGGCCAATGACCACAATGTTGATGTGAACTTTTTCCTTACCCATTCTGAATTACCAGCAAATACAACTGCAATACAGGGATTGGAACTTCCCATCAGCACAAATTACGTTCGAATCACAAACTAAGCGATCGAATCTAGAATGATCATGCATCACATCAACATAATCGAACAAGTCAATCGACAGTTCATATTTCACACATAGATCGAATTATGGTTATCAGGTATACATATATTCAAATAAGCGCAGACGCACATAACTAAACCAAACAACGAACAGCGAGAAGACTACACGATGTATAAGCGCGATGACTGCGAGAAAGAGACGATCTAAATCACAAACGAGCTGTGCTAAGGACGCATGCAAGAGAAGGGCATACAGATGCAGAAATTGCTCATGAGGCAACTGAGAGCAAATTCAAAGGAGGGACAAGCGTGGAATTGATCGCACAAACAGGCGAAGGATGAGGAAATAGGAGATCGGAGACTTTACCGCAGAAGAAGAGCTTCTCCTTCTCTCGCCGGCGTTGACGAGAGGGCGATTGTTGATACGAATTCCCGAGAGAAAGAGAGAGAGATGAGCAGCTGAGTTTGTGTGGCGATGGACGGAGGGGACAGACACAGATGAGAGAAACGCGCGGCTTTTAAAGAGTGGCAGATGAGAGCAGGAGAACAACGTCGTTAGGGTTTATTGCTAGCCGTTGGATTCTCGGGGGATTGAACGGACAAGATGTCGTCTATTTGACCGTCGGGTGCGGGGTTCGGCCGATGATGTGAAGTGTAAAGGCAAACGTTAGCTTGGACGGTGGGTCAGCGCTTGGCCGGCTAGGGTTGGCTTCTTTTTATACCGGTATTAGACCATTAATTCCGAACCGGAATATGACCCGACTATATAAATGTTCACATTTTAGTGGTCCAACTGATATTAGACCGTTAATATAGAACCAGTATCTTATAAACAATAATATTAAAAGTAGAAGACGCATAGGTAATACTTTAATTTAATAGCTAAAATGAAATTTACTTGACAGCTATCATTTAGTAGTTTTAGATTTATATATATATATATATATATATATATATATATATATAATCATTAAAAATCTTTACCATAACCCATTCGACCATTCTAAAGCAACATCCCCTTATTCTTCTTTCTTCTTCAGTTCAAATTTTGAGAGAGAGAACATGCAATGGGGCGCCAAGAGGGGAGTCTCTCCTTCTAAGAGGCTCAACTTTCAGAGTCGTCGTCAATAGTCTCTTCTCTCTCTCTTTTCGTGGTTCGTAATCTGTGATGGTGGTTAGTGAACTTTCAAAATCGCCAGTATAGTCTCTTCTTTCTCTCTTTCTGTTTCCCGCCCGTTGGGTTCCGGCGCCAGTGGCCTTCAAAAGTTCTGACGACTTCAAGTCCTGCAGCCATTTTTGGATTTAAAAAAAATCTACTGCACAACAGACGGCCAGGAGTCGAAAACCGGTCTGTCAGCTCGAGTGGTTAATCACTTCGGCTGCTCGTCAATCGTCCGTTCTACCTGCTACAATTTTTCAACTGATCCGAACTGGTTTGGTGACCGCCGACCGGGAACCAGTTTTATCGATTTAACCGACCGGTTCAGGCCGGTCTTAATAACACTGCTTTTTTGTTGACCAACTAAATATTCATTAAAAAATGTTAACCTAAATGGTCATCGAGTTATGGCAAATACTGTATACTCGTCACTAAAGTTTAAAATGGTTAGTTAAGTTTTCATATTGTAACATAAGTGAAATTTCATCGAGTATTTTATTAAGCTATCCATGTATATCCAAATGTGACCTCACACTTTTTTATTTTGCCAAAAGATATTTTGTATTAAACAAGAAAAGGGAGATACACTAGAGTCAGTTGTCCGACCAGAACCAGTAACAAAAATAGAACCTTATCAAACTAGGGAACAATGAAAAGACTTTTTTGGCCACCATACAAGCCACCATATTCTGAGCACGACTAACAAAACAAACACTAAACTTGTAGAAACACTACCTCAATAACTTGTTCTCGCACAAAATCGCCCCACCCCAAGCATCCAAACATATGTCCTCCTTAACCTTATCCAACACCATTTAAGCATCGTCGACGAAAATGATATCTTGCATCCCCATCTCAAGTGCCCAACAAATCCCATCTTTCAAGGCTAGAAGCTCAACCAAGAAAGGATCTTGCACATTCGAATACAAGGAGGCATCAACACCTAACAACTTGGAATGCCAACGGATCAAGTTTGGGGCGATACTACTATATTTGTGATCTGCTCTGCCCTCCAATTCGTAACCTGCTATGTCTTGTGCCCCGTAACGGTTTGACTTTTTTTGCCCCAATCTTTGCCCCAAGCGGGGAGGATAAAATACGCTCTGTCCTGTTTTAGCTCTCCGTCTTCGCATGTAATTTGTATGGCAGTATTGGTGGTGATTTTTGCCCAAGGTGGGGGGCTGAGGTCTAATGACAAGCTGATGGAGATGGTGGTATTTTCCTCCAATGTGGGGTGTTGAGATCTATGAACTCATATAGATCGATTACACTTTCAGAGATAAAGAAGTCTAACTGATGTGATTGTACTACAAAGTGGAAAAATCACCAGAAGGCAAAAGAAAAGAGGTAGACAAAAAAAATTAAAGACTAAATAAATGAAAAGTGCAATTTTTTACTACAGGGGATCTGCGTGCTCCACCTGCTATTGGTCCTAACCCTAGTTATGAATAGCTACGACCTCTCTCTTCGGTTGTTACACTTTGCAGATCGCGTGGGATTAGTTGACGGGGCGAAGCATAGCAGATTAGCAAACTATATCCATATCCACCCTGTTTAAAAGCAGATCGTGTCAAGATCTGCCCTATTCAAGAACGAATCGGATTTTATCTGCCACATTGCAGGTTGGGAAAAATCCACCAGAGCAGATCTGATTTGCCATCCCTACTAGTAACATTCCTTAGGCGTCCCGCATCACCCAGCCACCTGCACCATGAGAACCCAAGCTGATCCATGAACACCAACATCGCCCCCACCCTACCCTGTATCCCACTCCTACACCTCTCAACCAAAAGATACTACCTTCTTCCTTATAGCTCAACTGTTTCTACTAAAACTTTTCAATTAATACATGTTGATAATTGGGGAGGAAATCATATTCCTAACTATGATGTTTATAATTATCTTCTTACAAAGATGACATGGATCGGTCTTTTACAGCTAATTTAGAAGCTAGAACCAGACTATAGGAGCTTTGCCAGTATATAGAAAAACAATTTTGAGACACCTGTGAGAAGAATCAGGAGTGACTAGGGGAGAAAATTCAAATGAGTGATTTCTTCCAACAAACCGGCATTTTGAATGAACTTTCTTGTGTTGAAACCCCACAACAAAATAATAAAATTGAGAGAAAACACCAACACATTCTTCCTGTTGCAAGATCATTAAAGTATCAAGCCAACGTACATGTTGGTTTCTTGAGGATTATGTGAAACATGTTGTTTATTTGATTAATAAAGTTCCACTGCTCTTGAAAATCAAACACCCTATGAGAAACTCTATAACAAACCACCAGATCTCGCTGAATTCAGGGTTTTTGGATGTATCAGCTTTGCTAATGCCCTAAACAACCACATACACACAATTTTGATTTTAGAGTTAGGAAAAGTGTTTTTATTAGATGTACTGTTGGTATCAAAGGGTACATGATATATGGCCTTCTTAGTCATGATGTCTTCACTTCCAGGGATGTTCATTTCCCTTTAAAGAATCAACCCACACTCTCTAAACCAAATCGGCTACAACAATCCATATGACCTTGCTTGTTTGATGACAACATCCCTACTTACAATCCCTTCCCACCACCCAATTCTCCTAACATCCCACAAAACTTTATCAATGCCACTCACTTTAATTCTAATTATGATAGTCATGCCAATACTGTTGTCTAACCTACTGATTTCATGCCTATCTTCGAGAAACGGGGAAATCTATCATGCACATCATGGTTCTGCGAAGTATCAGAGGAAATCGAAGAGGAACACCTAGCAAAATTCACGATGATTCTATGGAATCTTGGAACGAACGAAATAATCATTTGTCAACAAGAAGAAGGCGGAAGAGTGGGAAATCGTGGGAAAGGCCCTATCCTATCATGAAGAATTCCTATCTGCCGGCACAAGGAGGAGGGGGAGAAGGGAAGTTGTACCTGTGAAATGGAAGAAACCGCCGGCGGGCACCGTGAAAATAAATGTTGACGCGGCGTCTTTGAGGGAGAAGGGACTGGAGCTGGGGTGGTCGTCTGGGACTGAACGGACTATGCTTGTTCGCAGCGGTTCGCCGAGATCGGAGGCAGTGGAGGCCAGAAATTGTCGAGCTCCAGGCCATCGATTTTCGCGCTGGAAGTAGTGGAAATGAAGGGTTTTGCGATGGGGAAATCGAGTCAGACTGTTTGGGGCCATCTCAAAGCTCAATGGTGACGTGGACGCCCTGACGGAAGAAGGTGAACTCAGACGGAGCTTAGGGCCAGGGCCCATCTTTTGGGCCAGATCAAATGAAATTTTGTTAGGAGAGACTGTATGAAGTACCCATGCTATGGCCACTTTGGGTGTAGATGGGATACCTAGGAATGTTGGGAAGAGAGGCCTCCTTTATCTTTACTACCGGTTGGAAGCGGATTGTAACCTACCTGATGCTTAAGCAATAAAATCTCTACCAAGTTCCTATAAAAAAAGTATGAGACACAAAAAAAGTTTCTATTTTCAAGAGCAAAAAGTGGATTTGGTGAAAACATCTTAGACCCGCAAGAATTATGATGTATCTATCCATATATAGTTATATTAGTGATAGTAAAATGCGATGAAGTATCAAGTTATAACATCAAGAAATACAAGAATAAGAAGTTATAAATTGCATACCTTGTCTCCATAATGAAGTGGATTTGGTGGAAGTGTAATTGGAATGTAGAGACATGTAATCCATGGAAATATAAGCAAATGAGAAGAAGAAAAAAAATCCCCCACTATTCGAAAGAAGACAAAATAACTTTTATTAATTATTTACATCAAATCACTTTTATTTACCTAAAGATACGAAAGAGGTTTGTAAAAAGAGAATTAAAAATAAAGTAATAAGCTTATCATGCAAACTTAAACAACAAGCCCGTCTAGCTCAGTTGGTAGAGCGCAAGGCTCTTAACCTTGTGGTCGTGGGTTCGAGCCCCACGGTGGGCGCTTCTTTTTCCATCACCCTGCATTTATTTTACGGCTCACACTCTCTGTCTCTCTCCCTAGTTCTCTTTTCTATTTTTAGGGACGAAAGTCATCGGCAGCCTCTTTTCAGGAGAAAAAACCACATGCATGCATTTGCATTGCACGCAACATAAATACAAACCCAGGTCAGGTCCCCAATCCAAGAAGCCATTCTACTGTCGAAAGTCTTCAAAGCTTCTCCATTTCTCTCCTACCAGCAATTACAACGCCATCAGGGATCATGGACATGGATGAGTTCGTCAGCTGGTCGCCTCGAAACCACAGAAGAAGTATTACATCCGTAATGTAATGTGATCTCATCTGATCCTCCTTAACCCTTCTTCCCATTTCATCATCCTTTTTCTTCATTCCATTCATTGCATTTGTCAACTTCCTTCACCGATCCTTTTAATCGTTTCCAGGTTTGGTAAAATGCTTGACCCATGTTATCTTGTTGAGAGATCTAACCTTCTCTGTGCACTCCCCTGAATCTGAATGTCATATCCATGATAATAATAAAAAAGATGAATGGTTCTTCGTGTGATATATAGATATTAAAATTGGAAATCCTGTGGTGTGACAGGGTCGGCTAACCAGGGATAAAAATGGTAACACTATAATCAACGAGTTTGGGGAAAGCAGCAACCATGGGATGATCGTTTTGGGGATCGTTTTAGGCTTGCTACTGCTGTTCATGGTGAGCAACTATCTCGTATACCGTTACGCCCAAAGGAATTTCGCGTCACAAATGAAGAAGAAGAAGAAGCCAGTCTCCAAGAAGAAGATGAAGCGGGAGAGGCTCAGGCAAGGCATTTCTGCTCCTGGAGAATGAATACAACAGTAAACTAAGTCAGTACAGAGAGACCATGTTCGTAGCAACTTCTCTGCTTCTGGTGTATGCATGACCTAATTCGGCATCTCGTTTTTTCTTTAGTCTCTTGTGTTGAACAAGTTCAGTTGGTCGTAAATTTGGGAGATCAATGTTACATTTAAGCAGCAACCGATGTCTGCCTTCTTTAGATTGTTCCATAAACGTAACCCTGCCTCAAAATTGAGTAGCAAAATGACCATCCAGAAATGCGACGACACAACTGGGAAATAAGAGTGCACAATACACCAAACCAAAGAGACGATTACAGGCACTGGAAGTAACAGTTTGCAGTGATCCGTGGTAAAATTCTTTCAATTTATCTATAACCGAATGTAGCAGGAATAACATTTACACGCTAACTTAGTTTCAGCTCAATTTCTGGGTCGTTAGATGGACACAAGAACGAAACATCACCGAAAAGGTTGGTTGCTGTGTCTGTCGCCGTGTCGCGCCTTGGCATTTCCCATTTAACCATCCCAAAGGTTCAAAACAACCTTACGGGACTTACCACACAATTCAATCAGCTGCTTCCTTTCTTGGACCTTGCTACCTAAGTATCCTCCCCCTACTGTACATTTTCCCCAGCTACTCGGGCTATACTAACACCAAAGAGACGATAAAACACTAGCCGAAATGGACCAGGTCCTGTGCCAGTCAAAAAAGAGTCGCTCATAAGAACTACTGCATCCGAAAACCCCAGTCCCCGGGTGAGGTGACTTCTGCTCCTGCACAAAATTCAGATGTCTACTCGATTCTCAATAACACTCCTGTAGACTTTTTCCCTCTTTATCATTTGCTTGAAAGCCAATTATCTCAAGACATTTGAGACTTCTTCACATTTCATCAGGGAGGGTTTTCTTGGTTCTGAGTGATGGATGGAAGGAGACTTCACAGCCGCCAAACTTGAAACACTCCAGAATTCAGAGTACGGCTTCTGTCCCCCAAAAATTGATAAAATAATGGTATCAATTGCCCGCAGGTTGTCTATTCAGAGTCCGTATCAATGGAAAGATACAAACGCTGTCTCACAGAGCGCTTTTGTCTAGGGAACGAGAAAGGGCTTTCAGTTCTCGGGCGACTTGCCTTTCAGATGAGCCACGTCATTTCCCAAGAAGTAATGAGGCTGCAAAACAGACACAACAACAACCACCAGCACACTCATCAGACCCAAGCGCTAGAGAGGTGGTAGTACGTAAATTGGCAAAACAAACACAGGTAGCTTTCATATGTAAGCCTCGTAATTAACATCTATATCAACTTCGCTACCCATATAATTGTATTAAGCATTTATGGAAAAGAACTAACTAACCAGTGTCGGTCAAAGAACCCATAGCACCATCTCTATTAGTAGGCATCGCATGTCTTGAAGTTAAGCTGCCATTTGCAAGTGGTACAGATTCACCATGACCACCGCCAGCAGCAGGCAGCACCACCTCCCAGCCTAAGAGAGATCCAATCCTCAGATCGAAGCCCACCATTATTCGACGATGCATCGACCTGATGATGATCTCTCTATTGGAATGCATTGACGAATCTAATGGCCTGGTTGGAAAGAAACAGTTGTAGAGAAGGATCTTCCTCGAAAGCCAATGGATTATCAACCAACCCACCATTCCCGTCAGATCTACCCACTGAAGTATCTGGTGGGACCAAATTGACATGTCCCACGCCAGTATCAGGACCAAACTGTATCCATTGATTGATGTGGGACCATGATGCAAATCAACCAAGGGATCTGAGACATCTGAACTAAATAACTGGAACCCTGGGCCACCCTGGGGTGGTGGCCGAGGGGCAATCCTCCATAATCATCATCATTCGTCATTGAAAAGACCCAAGCAGGACGTTCCAGCAGCAGCGCCAAGATTGGGATCCTCGGGTGATAAGGTGGTTCTGGAATCCAGATCGGGTCCCTCTGAGAAACCAGCCCGCACCAACATCATTCTGGTTGTTGTTGAAGCCAGCGCCAGAAGACACCAGTATATCATTTTTCATATCTGTATCACTAAGAACAATGATCTCTGCAGCATCCGCTGCCACTGGAGCAGAAATAGCTGTGCACCAAACCCATACGTAGATCTATATTGAGAGCTAATGAATCGAGTTCCATCCTCCACTATTATTATTAAAATCCAAATTACCATCCTGATTCACACTTGGATCCTCACCACTGCCAGTACCGCTGCTAGTCATGGGAATAACTTTCTGCTGAAAGTTATCCGGCTGCAATCTGTTGTTCCTGAAGAAGAGCCATTCATACCCTCATGTTTGCTGACTACCCAAAGCCCATCAGGTTCTTCCTAAGACCAAGTTTCAAACCATTAATAGTACCATGACCTTCAGAATTACCTTCCTGCTTGACTTGCTTCCCTGTTTCCACCACCTTTGACTGAACCTCCCCATTTGGTATGCTGCATGGAGTACCATCAGGATTGTGCCACTGTGCCAGTTCTCCCAAATCTCTCTGCTCAGCTTCGGTTTGGTTTCACACGCCATGCCCCATTAGGCTTTACCTCAATCTCTGTTACATCCTCGCCACAGTGCCTCATCTGCAAACAACACAGAATAAAAAAACCCGATGCTAAGATTTATGTCACAAAACACCAAAACTAATTATTAGACTACTAAACAAGAAAGCACTACCTTAGTAGTGATGCGGTTGAAAAAAGGATCGACGATTACACTATCCAATGAGTAGTTCTTCAGACAAATGGGGCATTGCCACTGCAGAAAATCCACACACAACATTCAAGACACAGAACAAATAACTAGAACCTTAAAAGAAAAAATAAGGGGATGAACAACAGTTACTTGCCTTCCTAGAACGCTGATTGAGCTCAACAAAAACATCAAGGTCAAAACAGCCCATGTGAACACACGGTTTAAATCTTCCAGCAACTTTCATTCTTGAACCACTCATCTGCGCAGGGAATACAAAAAATCCACAATTTGATAAGAGATTCTCTGGCGGTTTAAAAACACACAAAACAATTGCTCAGATGACCAGTACTGAACAGAACAGCTATTCAAAGGTTCATAACACAAATTAAAAAAGTTCACTTACAGGACAACGAAGATTGACAGTAATGGAGTCTGCAACAACTTCGAGATCGCTGTCACTGTCAGCACCATCAGTTGGAGCTCCACCACCAACACAACGGCAAACACGAGAAAGTGCGTCTTCAAATTGTTCACCATCAGACTCTTTAGGTATCAACCCAAGTATCTGAAACGATAACATTAAAGATTATTTAGCAGAACTATACATACTACAGCAGCTCCTATTTTTATCAAAGTGTGCGTTGTGCTCTGTTTAGAATCAGCTCAATGTTTAGAAGAGAATTTCACACGCCAAATACAAGATAAAAAAGAATGAAATGATAATTAAAAAAAAAAAAAACTGTACATAATGTGAGATACTTCAGACCAATCAAACACGCTCTTCTGGTATCTATTCCAAAGCTTATCATATTATAAATAACAGAAAGTCCATCATCTTGAGAAGATTGGAAGATAAAAAAGACCTAGAACTGCGGAATTCAACAATTCAAGCAGCTATGCTCAGACAGAGTCACACACTTACCTGAAGTGTACGCCGCTTCACTATCCTTACCCCCAAGCAGAAAACCCGGGCATCAAATCCAGAACGATATTTATTGATCCCATCCTTCGTACATGGTGTGATCTAACCAATGATTAAGACGTTCAAAGAAGGTTAAAGACAAATTACAAAATACTTGAGGCTTACGTGGCCACTGACTCTGCTAGACCCCGAACAAACTAGCCTACAACTATTTATACAACAAAGAATTCTAATAACAATATAAACCAAAAACTCACAATTGGACCATCATCACGGCCATTTGCCCCGAGCAGTTGCGAGCCAGGTCTATTAATCGCACGAACAGGTACACCTGTGTACCCAAACAAATTACAAGTCGTATCAAGAAACCTAAAGAGAGAAAACTAGTTAAATAGACATTCTATGAATAGAAGGTAATTATCATACCATGACTTGTAAATCAGCATGTTGAGGCCACTGCATCCTAAATGGGACTTTGTCATTCAAAAGCATGCACCACGCCTACGATGAGTTAAAAAAAAATACGGAAACAAATCACTTTGACATATTTTCTGGCACCTCCTGAAATGAAAATTGACGAAAAACATCTAAATCAATCCACCTGCACATCAATTTCTGGCTTAGTCAATAGGTCCTTATCTGCCCTCGTCAGGTGAAATGACTTCTCTATATTCTGCACTGGATTTGTGCTGGAGAATATTGAATATAAGTAGCAATACTAGGCAGATGAATATACAGCAAGTGATTAAAATATGAGAGTCCATCAATTAATTGCATGACGAAACAAATGCAAGTAAGACAGTGCTTTGTTTGGCCTCAAACTTACCTGTAAATTGGTAGAGGAGGACAAAGAGATGCAACTTACATAGTCAATATTCCTAAACCTAACAAGCAGAATTTCTCCCAGTATATTATATGCCACACACCCCAAAACTATAATTACTGTGCGTGACAACTGCAAGAAAAGCCTACAGACCAAACCCTATGGATAGTGAAATGCAAACTAGCCTATTTCAATGTTTATCAACAAATTGAAAAACTTGGACAAGTACATACGCCTCAAATCAAAATGCAAAGCGTCTAAGAAAAAGAATGAACAATCCATCGAGGACCTCAAAAAATCAGTAATACAATAACGATAAACCTACCCATCAGTTGGGATATTTGTAATGGCCAGCTTCACAGAAGATAGTGGATGAGCCATTGCAATCCAAAAGCTGCAGATAAAGTTTACTTCATATTAGAGACAAATACTAGTGAGATGCATAGGACATGGATACTCTGAGACCATGAAAAGAAATATAGCCTTTAAATTTTAACAAATGCATTAATAGAAATCGGACTGACATAAAGTTATAATAAAACAAGAAATCTAAGAAAAAAGGAACGTGTATTCAGCTTCTGACACTAGGCAACTATGAGCAATTGAGATGAGAGAGGGATAGACAATGTATCAACTAAATCCAGATAAGTTTACTTCTGCTGACTCGGTAAACTTTCACTCTCAGCTACAGAATATTCCAAACAAGTCGTAAACAAATGAAAAGTCGAATCTTGTTCCCACAACAGGATTTTCCTTGTGCCTGATCTGCTTCACCATCTAACAACTAAGGCACAAGCATGTATTATTTCAAAAGTTCAGCTCCATCCAAGTGACTGTAAACAAGATTGCCACTAAGCTCATGAATACATGCCTTAATAACAAGAGAAAACAAAACTTAACAACACCAGATTTAAAGCTTTCACCTAGTTCCCCTTCCCTAGTAGGCATAGCTATCATCAACCATTAAAGACAAGGATAAATTCCTAAATAAAATCCACCCCAAAGTTTGGCCTATGTCAGTGTGTCACTGGTCACAAAGGCACCTGGAACAAAGATGTTTGCAATAACAAAGACAGAAAAGAAAACCTAATTCAGCAGCACAATTTAAACATGACAATGAGTAGATAAATGATTCATACGGGTCAGCTCGGCTCAGTCGACAAATCTCACAGTAAAATACTTCGGGAACTTGGGACTTCCCTCCATAGGCTTCTCAGCAACTATAACACAACCAATATGCTGCCACACCTGGCATCTGGGATCCTCACACTGCAGTTGGAAAAATAGTGGTTCCACGGATAAGCCACAGTACAAATCATTCTTAAGAGGATCAAGTCCTTACACTTGGCATACGCTTGTGCAAGAAAAGTGGACCAGTTGAAAATAAAACTTAGAATTCCTAAGTGGTTATCACAAAGTGATTAAGAAATGAAACAGCTACAATTGGTTCATAACCAAATTTGGTAAAGATATTACAGCAAAAAAAAACACGTTGGAAATAAATGTCACGGGCCATGCTCCTCATACCCCAAGAGAGACTAACAACTCACACGCCTAAAAGAGTAGGTACCCACAAATGGTATGCTAGTATAACTGCTCCAAGAAAGAAATGTAAGCAGTCAGAATATCTAGTTTACTATGATGGAAACTCATCCATGCAATAAAGTAGGAGTACATACAAATATCAAAAGTGCCAAACATATAGGGAACAGCTCCAAAGATTTCACAATTGCAAATCACCTTAATCATCGATTCTGTTTCCAATGAGCTGCCACAGGACACCGAACTTTGGTATCACGGTGAAAAGAGTCCTCGGGTTCTCCTTTAACAACTTTCGGATTCGAATTGCTGCTATCCAAAACACATTGCGCCTTTGATGCTAAATCAGTACCCGAAACCTGCATTTTCCTGAAGATGACGATAACGGTACATTTTTTTACGAGATCAGTGTGATATATGCAAAATGAACGAAGTACATAGTAGAGATGATCAAAGCTGACTTACTTCAGACAATTATTTTCAATAGAAAAATGTCGCATAATATAATACCAAAGGTATCAGGACAATTTGGAAAATAAATTTACAAGTCAAGAGATGTCATTAGGAAACCTGTAAATGTCATCAACAAGTTTTGCTGCTTCGTCCCTTCCAAGAACACCCTCTTTGGCCACGCCTTGGAACCTGAACATAGGTAACACATCATTAATGCCATGTTGAAATAACTGTGACAGACTATCTGCACATTCACATGAGCAGATCTCACCGACATAACAGTTCGTAAAAGCGGCAACAGAAGGACGAGGAAGGGGGCTAATGCAACAACTACAGTATATTTCAGGCATTATTAGGGTAATAATGGCTACAACTGACAGCACCTGTCAATGCGTCAGTAGTCAGACTAATGGAGTTGGATTTTCATTCTCCGAAAGAAGAATTTGGTAGAAGAAAATATCAATCCATAGTTTTGCTTAACTGATCTTGCTGAACAGGTATTTTCCGTCTGAGACCATGGTTTCAGAAAACAGCTACAGCAACATTCGAAAAACAAATTCTTTTCGATGCACATCAACAGACCATATGAACCAAAAGCCACAATGCCAAACAAAGAAGGTAAAGCACGAGGAGGGAAGCAAAGAGGTGAGTTTGCAACACTGGGGGATCTCTTACCTTGTGCATCGTGCAGGACATTCAATATGCGATCAACTAGGTCCTGTACAGTACAAGTAACAGCAACGAAGAGAACAGCTTGATCAAGAACATTTCATACAATTAGCAACGAATGCTAAAGCGGGTACAAAGAATGATCATGAACCTAACCTGCTTTTTCCCCTGCTTTGATAGCCCTAACTGAGTCAGGACATCCTTCAGCTCCTTTATTCGAAAATAAGCCAACTTTTCCTACAAGAGAAATGATGCCTCAAACCCGTCAGGCGACAACAAGTGCAAGAAATCGAGAAAGAGAAGATACTACTCTGATTGCATTTATGTGATTAAGAGAGCCCATAACACACTGAAAGTTACATATAAAAACTCCAAATCCAATCCCAAATTACCCTACTTCAGCCCGAGTACAAACAAGACATGGTAGCCACCTCAGTAAACTATTCCATTTCCAATACTCTCTTGTAGCAGAGAAAAATCCAAACTGCAAGCCATTCGACGAGAGCATATCACACATGCTCAACGGAACAGCATTTCTGCGAAGCATCTTCTGCATTGTGGTTCCCAGTAAGTGTAAAATAAGACAGTGAAGCCGCTGAACAAGTACGTAACACGATTATGAATACGCGTTCCCCATTGCTGCATGCTTCAGCAAACCTCTAAACAGGGTTTTCGTTTTACCATTAAAAAGTAACACAAAAAGCAACGAGACAATTCTAAGTTCTAGCTACAAACAGATATCAGCTGCAGCAGGGAAGAGAAGAGAAGATTTCGGAATTGAAGAACACTACTGCCTCCATAATTCAAACCAATTTACCTTGCAGCTATTCACCAAATCCATCTTCCACAACCTCCTCCCTAGAACTGCCACGCGCAAAAGAATCCCCAGCAGCAACCAATCCAATAGCTAAACCATCGATGATGATGGCGAGCACAACAAAACACACTCCCGAAACAGCAACTGATCCACTCAAAATCAACGAAGCAATCCGACAACGCGACCGAGGGAAGAATCGAAATCAACCACGAAACACCACCCAAATCGAGAAAGACGGGAAACACAGCACCATCACATGAATCCCAGGCACTTGTGGTGGCTGCTGCAGAACCGAAACAGAAGTAGAAGAAGAAGAGAGAAGGCTCAATTAGGGTTTCGGCTGCGGGATGAAACCTTCAACCGCCGACTCCTCTCTATCTCTCTCCTTCCCTCGGTGTAGTGCTTCGTTGTTGCTGCGTTTTTCCTTGGAATCTCTCTTATTTTTTTACAACTCTTTATTGACCGGAAGAAGGAAAACGCAGGCGGAGGCCACCTCTCTCAGCCCAAAAAGAGGGCCGGACGTATCGGCGATTATGAACTCCGGTTAATTAGACGGGGAAATGTCCGGGTTTTGCTTCGCTGCTTCTCGCGGTGTTGCTGGTCCAGGTGCACTGTCATGCACGCCTTACGTTTACTTTATTTCTTTTCCTTTAATTTTTTTTTCTTTTTCCATGCACATTGCACAGCTGCGGCCTGCGAGTGGTCGATACTTTCGATAGGGCTTTTTCTTGAGTACGGATATTTTTGTATCTAGCGCAGACTTTTTTGAGGACACGTCAGCGGTCGGGAAACCATGATCTTGTTCCGGATTCTCGGTCCTCGCAGATGGTTCGGTTACCAAGCGTATAGCCAGCCATCTGGAGCTTTTGACCGTTGGATCTGCATAATACTAGCTCGTTAAATCGACCATAACTGCATTCACATGGAATCGACAGCATCAGATTAGTCCCCAAGAAAACCTATTTAAATAATGAATTATTTCTCGTTGTAGCGTTACCAACCGCAGGGCACGGCCAAGACTTGGCCTCTTTCTTTCTTTTCACCTCGTAGTGGCAATGGCTCTTTTTCAATTTTATAGACGCAAAAAAGAAGACTTCGTATGAAATTCTCAATTATGGAGTGTCATTGTTGATTTCTATAGACAATTTTTTATTTGGATGTTAATGCTTTCTTTCTTTTAAAAAGATATGGAATTTTAATTAATTTGGTAAAGTGTCATTACACTACTCCAACAAAATTTAATACAAAAAACAGGAGGCCTACCATTCAAACTTCTATTTCCTCCCATATGCGAAGAACGATTGCCAATTTGCCATCTCTAATACTCCTCAATTTTCTCGTCATCCCCAGAACTTCCAATTCACGTTACTCATTTCCTTGCTCAGCTCTCGAATTTCTCGAGTGATAATTCCCGACTCCATCTCAACCAGTGGCGAACCCATGAATTATATAAAGGGTGTTCAACAATGAAACAAAATTAACAAGGATTGTCAAATAGTCTTGAATTCAAATACCATCATTAATAATCAAAATTTTACAAAGGAATTTTGTTCTAAAATTGAATCAAGGTTTGTTAGTTGACAAACCTACCACCAACCTAGGTCCGACCCTGATCTCAACCTCCTCTTTCTTGTTCAATTTCTGAATTAGAGTTCAACAATCCGACTCTGGCAACACAGGCTTCGAGACATGCGTTCTCACGACCTGGATAGCCCAGAGCGCTGCTTGAGCTTCTGCTAACTCCGATTCCCAATTGATCCTTGTTCTTTTACCGTGTCCATTAGAAAACTACCATAATCATCTCTTATGACCATACCAGCTTCGTTCCTCCTCCCTTCACCTTTAACGCGTCAACATTGATCTTAAGGGAGCCCATTACCGGTCTTTCCCACTTGTACTCGTTATGATTCATACCTGTCAGAGACTCACATGATTGATTGCTTTTGTATTCATTAAGGTAAAGCTACAATCTTCAAATCACACCTCTTCTTCAAGTTTCTGGTTGTAAAGATTATTGTTACATCCTATTCATATGAACCATGAGGCCATCGCGATTGAACATAGATCTTCGTCTATAGCTTTCTCAATCATTTTACTCAACCAATCTTTACTCGATCTTCCATCCCCTATGCAAAATAAGCCCTAGGAAACTAGGTCGCCAGATTTTTTCTGTCCAGTCACAATCTCTAAGAATGTGTTGTTGAGCATCTGTTTACAACTTTCTTGAACGGTACAGGAAGGGGGCACTATTGATATTATTGCCACCATGGCTATCGTGTATTATATTTTGAATGCAGCCCGCGTTTTGTCAATGGAAAGACTAAGGAAATTGGTATGGAAGGGATTATCCTTCATATTTTATATTACTTTAACACAAAACGAGATACATTGACACACACAATGGATAGCATTAATACATTGCATACTTACACAACTCACTTCAACCGTAAACACAGAACTGTAAAACCCACTATTGTTAGCATATACGAAACAAACAATCTATTATTCACCGCCTTCAGATCATGAGCTAACATATAATATCCTCCCTACTAAATCATGGTTTAACAATTGTTTTGCCCTCTTTCGTCGCTCAACCTAATTTATAAAATTTCGAATTTCAATTCAAGCGAAGGAATCTGTTACTTCATATCATCATTCTCTGCCGAGAGTGTAACAACGATAGTTTCTTCTCCGGTAACACAATACTAATCGACCCAAACAAAATATATTCAATCCATTGATTTCAGCTTCCAAAACAAACAACGATAAATTTTCCTCCCCGGATTCTTCCCAGTTCCAGAGACGAGAATAACAGTTGGGCACTTATGAACGCACCTAGGGACATGGGAACTAGCACAACTCGATTCACTTATGTTCTTCCTTATTTTCATTGCATCCATGGCGCCAAAGTTAGATTATTGAATCATCCAAGCTTTTACCCAATCCACCGTTGTGGTTCTCGCCTTTGATCCATCGGATTTGCCTTAGATTGGCGTCGGAGTTGGTGTCACCCCCCCAAATAGCTGTCGCCTTCAATATCTCCTGCTCTCCTGTGTTGTAGATGTATCACCTCACTCCCCCCTATTGCACCATTGTTGGTCAGTGGTCACACTCACCACCACCTCTCTTCGTAACTGTCTGAAGAAATAGTATGGTGAAAGAGAGAAAACAAAGATCAATGTGGTGGAGTGAAAATAAAACTTTTTTAATTATATTTAAAAAATATTTATAGTGTGTTGTTGACGTAACTGTCATGGTGACACGAAGTCAACCAATCGTTGACCTTCGTTTGGTTGATTGTCAAAGTCTAACTGTTAACAACATAGTTGAGGACATTTTCACATCATAACCCAATCCATTGGACAATGTTGATGCATGGAGAATATGGAGGTAAAATTGACAAAAAGGTTAAACTATGGTCATTTTACAGTACTAGCTTTATACCAGCCGGTGGCCGGAACCCTAAAAATCACTCTATATATATAAGTCGTAATAGATGAGCAAAATGATGAGTAAATGTTTTTCATGAATTGATATCGAAAGTGTGAAGAGTGCATTATATATATGGGGAGTTCTACGGTACCCAGGGTGAAATCCGGGGTACCGCATACCAGGAGTAAGAAAATGCTATCCAGAACTTGAATTGATGATCTTTCGGACATGATACTATACTCTTACCCTTAAAGATCAAAATCTAGGTCTTAATTCTCTAAATCTTATACTCCAAGATCAATTTAATTAGAAATAATAATCGATTGTTATGATTCGTCCAAATATAGGCAAAAAAATCAATGCACCATCTTAGGGTTTATAGTTTATGATTTAGATAATTAGAACCTAGGGTGCACCCATTAAGGGTTAGGGTATAGTATCATGTCCAAAAATCCTGCTAATTCGATGTCTATATAACGTTTTCGTACTTAAGGTATGCGGTACCCCCGATTTCACCCGGGGTACCGTAGAAGGCACCATATATACATGTGATAAAGATTGGCATAATACAAGAGTATAGTATACTCTGCATGATCTAGCCGTTAGATGTACCTTGTTGAGCTCCTACCAATCTCAACAGTCAATTACAATTTTCTATTAAATTGAACTTTGGGTTTGACTTTAGAGAACCCATCTCAACAGTCATTTATCATTTTCTATTAAATTGAACTTTGAGGTTGAGTTTAGAGAACCGAGGCCTGAAGTTTATTCATTAGAGATTAGGGCATAGTATCATACCTCAAACTCGGTTAAAATCATTGTCGAGAATCGAGATAGAGATATCTCACTAAGAGTACCTGAAGTATAATATACTCTATAAGTACACCGGTCTAACCCATATACTGGTATACTCTAGTAGTATAGTATACTTAGCTTATCGTACGCCAATTTAACCCTATATTTCAAGCTAGAATACGCCTAACGTACACTTACCTTATCGTACACACTTCCATTATAGTTATTTACATATTGAATTAGTCAATGTTTGGGCATGATACTTTACCCTGAACTCTAATGGGTGAGTTCTGGTCCCTAGTTCTCTAACCCAAACTATAAGATTCATTAATCTCAAAATAAAAATCCAGAATTCTGATTCGTCGGGATTATTCAAGTACAAATAATTGGTGTGAACGCAGGTTGACGTATGCTAGCCTTTGCCCCATATAAATACATATATATTGTTTGGACTGGTGTATTCGTGAAATATACTATATTCTATGTACTTGTAGTAGTGAGAAATCTCTATCTTGGCCATCAATTAAACCGAATTTGGGGTATGATACTATACCCTAACCTCTAATGGATTAACCCCACACTAATTCTCTAAATCCAAACTCGAAGTTTAATTTAATAAAAAAAAATAATTGACCATTTAGATTGGTCGAAGCTCATCGAAGTACATCTAATAGTTAAATCATTTGGAGTATAGGCTAGCGTATGCCAAGCGTACGCTTATCTTATTGTACGCCCATCGAGTTTTGCTATTTAGACCATGAATTAACCAGAGTTTGGGGCTATGATACAAATGTTTGCCAGAAACCGAACCAGAGCATGACCCCGACAATGTGAACGACTCGCACTTTAGTGGTCCAACCGGCATTAGACCGTTTAAAAACCGTTAGAGAACCGGTACCTAATAAACGTTATCAGTAAAAAATAGTGGACATTTCTTAATCAGAGGTCATCTCTTTCCTTCGAAATTGTGAAATGGAAATAAGGATTCAGTTTGAGAGCCCGACGTTTTTGGTTTATTTCAATTTTCAATTTTTTGCAAATTTTTTAATTAAATTTTGTGGCTGAATGGCAAAAACCGGACGAGCGACTCGAACGGTTAACCACCTCGGCCGCTCGCCAACCGCTACATAAAACCGGAGCGGCTTTTAGATTGTTCCGAGCCGGTTTTGTGACCGGGTGGGAGTTTTACCGGTCGGATCCGAACGGCTCGGCTTTAATAACACTATAACCCTAAACTCTAATAAGTGAACTCTAGTCCCTAATTTTCTT